CGTTCAAAGAGCAGAACGGTTTCGTTTGTCCCCGATGTGAGCAGTACAACGGCTTCACCGAGGACGGTGGCTATAACAAGGATTTACCTGAACAACGAATGGAATATATGAATAAATATATATCACCCACAAAAAAGGTCTGCTTTCATCGATTTTCGGTTGAAACGATTCAACGAGAGCATTTCTATTTGCTCATCTTCTCGATTTGACATTGTTTTCATAGTTGTGAATTTTGGATCGTTTATAGAATTATTCGGATTTGTTTTCTGGATTTTTGCATTTTTGCTTTTTGAGAAGTCATCCGTTTGCAGAAGCGTTCGTTCTTGAACGGAAGTATTCACGCTGCTGCAGGAAATCAACCAACCGGTCTGCCGTCGATTCTGTCCCACAACGGCCTTTGTCATCAATGTAACGCACAACAGAACCTCATCCAAGCACTAATCAACAAATTCGAACCAAAAAATGAAGTAATTCTTGTGAAAAAATTCCTTCAAACATTGAATGTTGTGATAGATTTCAATGGAATAATTGTAGTCAAGCGATCAATGGCTATAGAATGAGTATTTGAAATGTATCTGCGGTAAGTGTCCAGGATGGGTTGTTTAAATGAGAACGATATGCGGTTCGTAATGGAAATAGTGATGAATGAAATGGCGAGATTCACGGATGTATTCATTTATTGATATGTGATTGAAAGTTTTGCATGAGCAGAATGCGTTCTGGTTTTTAGCGACCTGAACGTCGAAGTTATTTGATGTTTGTTTGGTTTTGATTATGGTTATTGCCAGGATTGGCCAGGCTATCAAACGTTTATAACGTTGCTAGCCACAGTGCTCGTGTCTCAGTTCGCACTGTTTTAGCCTTCATTGAAGCCACCCCGCTGGCTAGGCGAGCAGGCCAACCGAACACAACCGAGAAATTAATTAGTTGTATACTTAATTGATAATACTTAATAATTGATATACAATTAATACTTAATTGAATATTTAATACTTAATTAGTTGCCGTGATTATGGTTATATCCAATCAAATTGGTGTTCTACACGAGATGCCATAATATGTAAGCTGATTGTCTGAATGTATTTTGTGGAAAGACAAGTTTAGCGGTGGAAATATTGAGGTTTATTGCAGAAAAACTTCTTCAACGAGTTGAATCAGTACAAGGAGCGTTTGTATAAAACGTATCCGCTTTGTGGCATATGCGAGAAGTATACCCAAATGAAGATTCAGCTTGACAAAGTAATATCATTTTGCTCTTCTCTCATGATATCTTCCGTCATCATCAGATTTTCTATTTTTCATTTCATTCCTCATCGCCTACCACTTAACATCGTATTTTTCTATCTAGAAAGCATAGATTTGCGAAGAATTGGACCATAATTTATCTCGTAAAAACTGAATTTAT